TTGCTATAGGGTGCGTGCGCTTGCCAGACAGACAGAGACAGAAAGCGAGAAATCACCCCCCTAGGGGGGATGGCCACGCCTCAATCCCTTCTCCTCCATTCTCTCAGGACCTTGGGCACGCACGCACACGCGCCTGGCATGAGTTGTTTTTTTTGTTTTTTTGGGTTTTTTTGAGAGGTTTTTCGCTACACGGCGCATGTGCTCGCCAGACAGAGAGAGACATAGAGACAGAAAGCGAGAAATCACCCCCCAGGGGGGATGATCACACCACAATCCCTTCTCCTCCATTCTCCTCTCAGGATCTTGGGTACGCACGCACATGCGCCTGGCGTGAGCTTTAAGCCACCGAGTCCGGGACGTGAACCACAGTCGACTACGTGGGAGTCTAGTGACATGGCCATTACGCTAACTGCTGGTCCCATCCCTGGTAGCTTCTTAAGAAACAGCTGCACTCCCTAGCCATGCTGGGCGGGTGGTGCTGGGACAGGTGAGACAGGTGCGGGGGGGTAGGGCAGGTGGGTCGGGGAAGGGGAAGTCAGTGCTGGTATCTGAGACCAGCTGGTTTGGGGTTTCAGGATGGGTGGGGAAGGCCCCGGAACTGGGCAGGGAGGGCCAAGGAGAGCCTCCAGCTCCCAGATACACACCAGTCCTGAACCTGTCCCTGTCTGTCTGGCCTAGCTGTCTCTGGGTCTCTCCATCTCTCTTTTGCTTCTCTGGCTCTTTCTTGTCTCTTGGTTTTACTAGATTTTACTTTTAGGAAGAAGAATTGGCTGCCTGGGTCAAAGTGCTGTAACTGAGCGGGCACAAGCAGGAGTGTGTCACATTATAGCGCACGTGTGTGTGACTGCGTGTCTGGGAGGGTGGATATGCGGCGAGAAGATTCGCCCCTTCGTGAGGTCAGACTGCAACCCGGCACACACCCCGCAGAGACACGAGCGTGTGCGCTGCCGCGAGGACCACACAGAGCTGAGACTTCACGGGCGAGCGTGCACACACACGCACACACACATGCACACGCACACACTTGCGGTCATTCTCATTCTCTCCAGTTCTCAGTGACCTCATCCTCTCAACCTCCGCTGACTCATAGCCCCAAGAGCCAGCTCAGCCTGGCCGGAAGTGTCCCTCTCCTCTGCCAACTACCCCCCCTTCCCGCCGCCGGC